TGGGTCTTCTTTCCTTAGAGATGTCTTAAGAGATACAGAGTCAAGAAAGCAAGAAGAATGATTTATGACATTTTAGAATCTAGGTGTCACTGAACTGTATTCTGTTTTACTTTTACTGTGGCTTTCCTTAGCATTGTTATTTTAAAACAAGATCTTGATAATCATTCAACTGTTCCTTTTGTACATTTGGTTTCCAATTTCATTATTTCAGAATATGAAAATGCTTGCTTTAGCAAGGGGGCTGTCTTTCTTTTAACAAATATTCTTAATATGGAACCATTAAAGGAAAAAGACAGTATGACAAACTAGGTTACTAGGCAGTGAATACTTCTAAAATGATTTGTCTTCATTCAGAAACCCAGCTGCTAAAATAAATCATTTAGAAACTGTTTTAATACCTAGATTCTATATCCTGATGACAATAGGAACTGTGTATCTTTCATTCTCCCCAGCAGATCAACATTTTTAATAGATTAATTTACTGTTTATTTATGAACGCATTCCTTTTATGAAGGACACACTGACAGACTTAGGCACAAAGACTTAGGCACAAAATCCCTTTGAATTTTATGACTGCTTTACATAAGAAGACCCAAAGATATTTAGCAGACAGACTTAGGCACAAAATCCCTTTGAATTTTATGACTGCTTTACATAAGAAGACCCAAAGATATTTGGCACTCGGCCTGGAGTTTGAGCATGAATATTATCTTTTTCTTGATTCTTATTGCCTCCTGATTTTAATAAGTATCTGACTGTTCCTACAGGGCCAAATAATTGCTTTCATTGTTCCTTCCAAGAATGTGATTAGATTGGATTTATTTACGGAAGTCTGTGAGAAAAAATATTTGTTTTTCATTTTAATGACCCATTATTAACAGAAAAAGTGTTCCAGTGGCACCTTTCATGATAGTTCACCCTTCCCACTGGTTCATGTTCTGGGGGCACCTTGGATGGAGTTTGACTAAGTGCTTCTATTTGGGAAAGTACTGTTTACCAGCCTGATACCATGAAATTCTTTGCTGGGATTTTCATTAATGATTAATGCAGTGCAGGTGATGGGGAACTAGACAGTAGTCACAGAATTTTGATGAAGATTTTATCTGTCCTATGCCTTTGTTTTTATTGATGTGGAAACAGAGTAATTTGCTCAGATTCATACTCTTTATCCCTCTGATAAGAGCCAGTTTTTCCTACCATAGTGCCTCCTTTAAGAGCTTTGCTTTGAGAACTGTTACGTACTTTTTGGTGAAAGTTGTTTGTCATATATTTTGGCAGCTAGGTAGGCAGTCTCTTGGTAGAGCTTTTGAGTTTTGTCAGAGCCACTCCTAGAAACACAACCTTAGTTCTTATCCTTTATATCTTTGCTCTGGTGGATGCGATGGAGGTAATTTGAGAACCTGTTTTATTGCAGTTTTCAAGTTCTAGTGAAGAGTAATTCCCAAACCTGGTAGGTATGATTTTACTTCAAGTAATTTAGGTATTGTTTCTTAGAGAGTTTTTACAAAATCGATAATAGATAATCTTTTATTTATTATACACCAGTCTCACACACACAGTCTCATTTATTTTAAAATGATTTTCTCGAATGAGATGTGAAAATGTTACTGCATCTAGAACTTTGCTTTCAAGATAAGTTGATAGCTATACTTAACAGCATTTATTTTTCTGGACATCTCATCGGGATATTATTTTATAACATCAAGTATTATCTTATAGCACCACCTCCCCCTTCTCCCCTCACTGCCTTCACTGTGAGGGACCATCCTTTTGCCAGAACTAACTTCCATGTCTCCTTTATCTAGAGACACCTCTTTATCTTGTCATTATTGAAGATGGGTGAAATGAGTGTATCATTACCAACCCCAGTAGGCTTACAGCAGACAGACTTAGGCACTTTATTCATGGTAATTGAAAGAAAGTTTTTTCTTTTTAAATTTTTAAAGTAGCCACTTAATTATTTGACATAAAAATCAACCTGTCTGTGAATTCAGCACTGTCTAATGTGTTATTAGGCAGACTGTAATTTAAAGCCGACATTAATTGTTACATAGACAGGAACTCTGGCAATTTCATGTTTTATTTGTAGAACACTGGACAGCAAAAGAGCTGATGCTGTTTAAAATGTTTTATAAACCCTATTTGCATTTTGATTATTCCTATATAAAACTTAAGGTCTCATCATTATTATTTTTGATAATATATTTTTTAGGATAACATATCTTAAAAAGTACCTTTAAATGAAAGGTGTTTTCATTAATTGTTTTCCTTCAAACACACAATATATTATACTTTGTAACTTGATATAAGGGAAGCAGTATTTGAAGTCTTTATCTGATACCTGGATCTATCCATTAGATAATTCTAATATATTAGGTAATCTTGTGTTACTTTCCTAAGAAAATCTTTTCTTTTTTATTACCAAAAGCTTTGGGAGAAAAGGTTTCCTTTTTTCCCCCTAGGGATTGATCCCCAGAGAGTAGCTTGAGGAGTTCCTTTTACCATCTCAATGAATGTTATTTCATATACAAATAAAATGCTTTCTAATACTTGACACTCTCCCCTGAATATTTTGCTTTTTATTTTTTATTATTTATTATTTTTTTATTTTTTGAGTTGGAGTCTCAGTCTGTTGCCCAGACTGGAGTGCAGTGGCTGCTCCTGTCCACCGCAGCCTCGACCTGCTGGGCTCTGGCGATCCTTCCGCCTCAGCCTTCCAAGTAGCTGGAACTACAGGCCCACGCTACCACGCCCGGCTAATTTTTGATTTATTGTAGAGATGAGGTCTTGTCAAGTTGACCAGGTGGGTCTTGAACCTGCGGACTCAGGCAATCCACTCACCTCAGCCTCCCAAAGCATGGGATTACAGGCTGAGATACCGAGCCCGGCTGTATTCTGCTTTTTAACATAACCTCCCATGTAGTTTTCAGTTCTAGTCTCATAGTACTCTCACATTGGGACCATACTTGCTCTAGTATTTTAAGAACATTGACTTAGAGAAACCTAAGTTCACAGTAGAGGTGCCTGCTGCTTTCTTGCGAAGCTTTTACTACCAAACAGGTGAGGTTAGTTAGCACTTTCATCTCATCTTTCTGTCAGCGGTAGCAGCAGCAAGACTGCTACTTCTACAACCACACGAAGTGGGAAAAGATATTCACTAAAGGAATAAGAAAAAGGTAAATTGGGCTGGCAGTGGAATAACTATAGCTGCTGCAGTACTCTCCAATGTGTGTACTTTGCACCATCATAATATATTTCTTTATAAATTGAATTATAAAACAACTATATATATTTTACTTCCTACTATTTCATTTTCCATATCCTGACTGTACTTTTTACCTGACTTTAAAATTTTTTTCAGAAGACTTCTCAAGCACTAGAAATAGATTTAGTTAAAAAAGGGAAAACAAACAAACAAAAACACCCAAGTTAAAAGGGACATTCTTTAAAGAAAGATCATGATACTACTTTGGTACTTCAAGGCTATCTTTCCTTCAGCACTTCTTATGGTTCAGATATGGTGACTTTTATTTAGAGGTAAAATTGGAGCTACAGCTGGGATTTAAGCTGTAAGATACATGCTCACATTCCTAAGGTGACAATCATTTGTACCACCATAAAGATTTATTTTATAAAAGTAAACTATATTAAATACACATGTGCTTTTAAGGTGTCAATTTTTAGTTATTTGTAGTAATTTACTTGTGAGTACCCTTTGAGGAAGATTTATATTATTTTTTCCATTTTCTATGTGATCACATTGAAGTATAGATAGTGATTTACATGGGATTATAAGCAAGTTAGTAATGTGATGCTGAAAACAGAAGTTGAAATGATCTATTCTCTTAGAAGATTATTCTAAGTTTATTTAAAATTATCAATATGCATATGTTTGTAGAATAATCAGAACTATTATCACTCCAACTGTTAGAATGAAAAGTAAAGTGGAGTAGGCAAGTGGAGGGGTAAAAGTTGAATTTTAGAAACTGCAATGTATATAAGGTAGCATGTGACCAAAAATGTCCACACTTATTCTTTCAGAGATACACCCTAGGTCTTAGAGAGAAAGGAAACAAAAGATGTTATTTTTTACTTGCTTTAGTTGTTTTCTACTTGTAAAATTGGGCATCACTACTGATGGGAGACATATAGAAATATTGCACTTGACAGTAAGATGTCTTCTTCCTTTGTCTGCTGCTGATTAACAGTTGAAATGTAGTGAATTATTAAAGAATTCACCAGTGCTGCCATTATAAACCCTCACACGTGCTTTGCAATTATTATCCTTCTTACCTCCCAGTTCTCATTTTTGTTATTTTTTTTCTATCCTCTTTCCTACGCCTTCCACTTTTGTTTATAAAATGGATGTGAAGATTTGGAATTTTAGAAAAAAGTTTCTTTAGTTGTGGTATATAATATCCAGAAATAAACATTCATTAGCAAATAGCAGTCTGAATGGACTTTTCTTAGGGGTAGTTCTACCACTTCCTTCTTCTTAACGTTACCTCCTCCTCCTCATCATGATCATCATGACTGTCACCATCATCATGCAAATCTTTGGGAAACTTACTATGTACTTAAGTGAAATCCACTTTTAAAAAATATGTCCCTTTTGATTCTTCTCTTGTTTTTTTCCCCATTATTTTTTTCTTATTTGACAATTTCTTACAACTGTAGTGTTATCTGAAATATTCTATGTTAGACTAGTTCCTTATAGCTTGTATTTGTTTTTTATGCATGTTGCTTAATACTTGGTTTTCTGTGAATTTTCTTTGCATTTCTTGTTTTCTCTCTACATGAATTCTATGTAATTCCTATCAAGAAAAGTAAAATGCTATAGTCTTTATATGCTTTTGGTTGTTATCCTTAATGTCACGAAGTTTACATTTTATTTAGCTGGAAGAAATAATGGATAAGCTGTGTGTAAATACCTAAATATGTAAGTGTGTCTATTTTGAATAGTTCATTGTTACTGAAGGCTTGTTTCTTAATTCCTCCAGGAAAGAAAGGAGAGGCTATCCAAATTTGAGTCTATTCGTCATTCAATTGCTGGAATAATTAGGTCTCCAAAATCTGCACTGGGCTCTTCAGCAGTAAGTAGGATTCACTCTATGTGCTACTGAAAATGGTCATTGTCTAGCTTCTTTCTGATGTATTAGTAAATACACACACACACACACACACACACACACACACACACACATACCACACACACACGGTACCAAAAGTTGTATATACATTTTAAGTATGATGTTTGCTCAAAAGATGGCATTAATCAAATGAATGCTAGCATCACCATGCAACAAGCAGGATAGTAAAAAAAAAAAAAAAAGGGCAGAAACATGATTGAGTGAACATCACACTACACTTTGCTACTGTAATTTAATTCAACTTCAGAAAGTAATACTTAGATAACATCTCCTAAAATGTGTATACATTTTTGGCACCTGTATATGTATATGTATAAATTTGTACTTACAAATAGAAAGATAAGAGGGTAATTTAACTTTTTATGTACATATACTGTATCCATATAAGTGTATAGTAAAAACCCATGTAACATTGACATAGGGCAAAGAGAAATAAACTTGTATTACAGACTTTCTGTACCATATACAAAAAATTATGAGGAACATTTTATGTACTTTGGGCCCTTATTAGAAGAATAGTATAAACAAATTTTTTTCTAGTGGAACATGACATTTTAATAAGAGTTTACTGTATATTTTAAAATTATATCAAGTTTATATATTTATATTTTAAAGAACATGTTGATTATAAGAGTGAAGTCTATATAATAATTAATTATTGATGCTTACCTTTGGCTTGTGACAGTGGTGCATAGAATAATAGTTATTCCTAATACCAGTGGCCTGGCCAAGTAAGATGCACAGTGAACAGATACACAGAGGTATAATCTCTAAGATGTTAGGTATTCTGTTTATTTGGAGGAGTTTTTTCCCTCGAAATCACAGGTACTCCTGACAATCACTAACCTACTTTTGGTCCCTATGAATTTGCCTATTCTGGACATTTCACAGAAATAGAATCATACAAGGTGACCTTTTGTATCGAGTGTCTTTCACTTACAGTGCTTTCAAAGTTCATCCATGGTGCACCATGTCACTATAGTTCATTTCTTATTATAACTGAATAACATTCCATTGTATGGGTTTACTGCATATTGTTTATCTATATTAATCAACTGATGGAATTTGGGTTGTTTCTACTTTTTGGCTATTATGAATAGTGCTGCTGTGAACATTCATGTACACGTGTTTACATGAATATATGTTCCAGCTCTCTCAGGTATACACCAGGAAGTAGAATTTCTGTGTTATATGATAATTCTCTGTTTAAGATTTTGGGGAACTATCAAACTGTTTTCTACAGTGGTTATACTATTTTACATTCTGACCAGCAAGTTACGCATGTTTCCTTTTCTCTACATTGTTTTTATTTTCCATTTTTCAAATTATAAGCATTCTAGTGTAGTTTTTATTTACATTTCTCTACTGACTAATGCTGTTGAGCATTTTTTCATGTTCTTTTAATATGTTATATTTCATGTTCTTTTAATATGTTTTATCAGTTCCCAGCATGTGCTCTTCTTGTTAGAGTACTAAAGGAGTTAAATAACCTATCGTTGAGTATCTCAGGGCTCTGAGACCGGCTCCACATCTAGCATCTTTCAGTCTTCAGGAAGTTATAATTTTGCATTAAGAACTATTTCTCAGAGACTGTTTCTGAAGCCAAGGCCAGTGGTGTTAGGATTACCGCGTATTTTGAAAACCTACTGGAAATCACGAGGGTCCATTTCAATTGGAAACCTTTCAAACCATATTATATTTAATAAGATCTGATCCAATCATGTCAAGAATACTGTCTTTTCTCTAGGGCCATCTTTTTACCACAGAATTTCTATACTGAGTGGCTGAGCAAATTACTTGTTCCATCTTACAGCCACTTGTGAATACTGGTTGTATCACTTATATGTGGGGTGAATAATGCTCCTCTAATAGTAGTATTCTTTGAAAAATGTTCTTTGAAACAAGAACATTTGTCCAAATGATTTGTTCTTTAGATGTAAGATTTATTAAATTTTTGATACAAATGATTTGTTCTTTAGACATAAGATTTACTAAATTTTTTCAATTTCTGCCTTCCTTTAAGTATGATTTTTCATCATACTATTGATAGGCTTTTTAAAAATTTTATAATTACTTTGTGCTAGAGTTTAGAAAATAAGAATATTGGAAAAATAAACATGCTTCCCTTTATATAATATAACATAATAAATAAGATTTGCTTGTTTGTTTTTAGAAACTTATAATTCATCTTTGTTAAGTTGTACAACAGTTATGTTAGTATTACAGTGTTTGGCTTCCACCATTGGCATAGGAGGTAGTAGTTATTTTTCATGGATACCATAAACTAATATTTTTCTTCAAGTGTAGCAGAGCAGTTTTTTACTTTTTAAAAAATAAGTCATGTTATTAAAATCAGGTTAAATATTATACATTTTATGTATCAGTTGAACCTCAAACCCCACCATTATGCATTATGTCCCATAATGAATATTCATGTATATCCCATGAATCTAAAATAAAATTAAAAATTATATATTTAAACATTGTCTTCTATTATTCTTAATGTTTTCAGTTATTTTTTGCCCAGTCAATATGATATAAAAAGTGATTAACAGGGGGAAAATAAAGCTTTTTTGTATTATATCATAGTCATACTGAATTTTCCTATCATGTTTGGGAATGTTTCTTCTGACATGTTTTAGAAAATTAAATATTATTCTATGCATTGCAAATTTTGAATCACTTACATTATTATACACAATTTTCCAGAAGGGCTTATTGGGATTTATTTTCTATAATTTTTATTGTATGGGAGAAAATCTGCTCTTTTACATGTTTGCTCAAATGCTTAAAACAAATTAAATATATAGTGTCAGACTGATACAGTATTTTACACAGGCAATGATGTTTACCAACTTGATGATAAATGTTTAAATTTCCTGAAATATGATTGCATACTGACTCGTTGCAGTGATCTGGTAACAGTTTTAGTTGAAGTGAATGGTAGGAAATAAGCATTGAATATAGCTAATTGATGAGCATCCGTTCTCATTGATATGGTGACACTTTTATATATAAAATATATAAACTCAACAAAAATATTTGATATTGAAAAAATAAAACTGGAGCAAAAATGTAGTGAAGTGATGAGAGAACATGAATGAGAGTCATAGACACAATAGGAAAAAGTAAATGTGCAAAAATAATAAAGAGAGAAAGAATGTGAGTACTAATAAAGAAAAGTAAAGAAGGGAAGTAAAGAAGCCAAAAATAAAGATAAAATAAAGGAAAACCAGAAGGTATTGAAGGAAGCAGAAGTGTTAGAACAGAAAGGAAAGGTTTTGTGTGTGTGTGTGTGTGTGTGTGTGTGTGTGTGTGTGTGTGTGTGTGTGTATAATATCTATTTTGCTAAAGAGTGTCGTTTATCAGAGATCCAAGAAAGTGCACAAAAAGGCAATCCAGGAAATGGGAAGTTGCAAAAGAAAGTTAATATTTGAGTTTGGCTTTGTTGTCTATCTCTGTTTAATACAAGTTTTAGAAAGAATGGCATATGAATGCTAATCTGGATTAGCATGCAATTCTGAGAACAGTTGTATTATTAGCTAAAGACCAAATCAAAGTTCTAAGTACTATAGTATAAAAAAAAGTTAATTAAGAAATGGTTTCGTTGTGGAAAGTAAATATCACATAAAGTATCTTTGTTTTGGTTAATGATATCAGTACTTGAAAATATTACCAACTTGACTTTATTGCCAAAAACTAGAATTTGTAGAATTATAGGTAGTCCTTTAGTGCCAAAGACATAAACACTATTCTAAATAATTTTTATCCTGTTGTCTAGTCAAAGCAGAAATTATCCTAAGGATCAAATATCCAGAATATATTTTATTTTTCATTTTTTAAAAGAATTAACTCGTCTTATAGATTCTAATTATAACTATTTAGAAATTTAACAATAAAGAGTAGGGAAGAACATTATTTCTTATGTTTTAATTTTTTATTCACATGTAATAAATCTATATAAATTTAAAAAACACGTTGGTTCAACTATTAAACTTGAAGTGCTATAAAATATACTTTCATACCTAGGATTACATTTTATTTTACTGAAAATGATTTTTATTACCACCAGGTACATTCCAACTTGTTAGACCAGTATTTCCCATCTTTTGCAATCATTTGGTGATTCTCCTACTTTTAATTGTATGGCATTTGATTCCTCATCGTCTCCTAAAATTTCCCAGTGATACATAACTTTAAAATTAAATGGGTCTCGAGGAATTTTTGAAAATCGTTTTAAATTTTGTAGTTAATCTTGCTGGTAGATTTGGAATAATTTATTAAGTTAGACTATTAGATTAATAACTAGATTCATATAAAAATAGAAAAGAGAATTATAGAGAATATGCCCAGAGGAACTCAAATTATTCTACAAAAAAAGATACCTGTGCATGTATGTTTATTAAAGCACTATTCACAATAGCAAAAACATGGAGCCACCATGCCATCCATCAAAACTGGACTGGATTAAAAAATTGCTGTACATACACATGGTATAATATTACACAATCATAAAAAAGGACAAAATTATGGACTTTGCAGCAACTTGGATGGATTTGGAGTTTATCATACTCAGTGATCTATCACAGAAACAAAGAACTGAGTACCACACATTCTCGTTCATAAGTGAACCCTGAACATCTATCATAATATTACACGGGATGGGACAATTCCAGGGAATGGGGAGGGTCCATAACATCAATAAGGGTGCTTGATCCTAATTCAGGTGAAGTGAGCTCCAGTAGGAAACCAAAAACTTCACCTGTACCTAAACACTTACGGATGCAATCCTGACTTGTACCCCACGAATTTAAAATAAAATGAAAAAAATAGAAAAGAGAATTGAATATTATTTTTATGGCTATTAAAAATTCAGAATTTAGAAAAAGTTCGTATTGAAATTTTACTTAGTTTGTTCAAGGTCACTATGAGGTTTTCTTAGATATTTTCCATGTTGTTTCATTCTGGTCTTTTAAAAAATGGTTTATTTGGATGCTTAATTTTAATAGAATCCAAACAAGGCTGTTTTTAACTTTTTTTTTCCTCTCAAAGAGAAACTCATCTTGCTACTCAAATGTCTGAATAAAGGTATACAAATTATTATTACATACTTGAGAATTAGCCTGAATTAGGGTAAGGAGAAAGCATGACCTCTTTTTCTTTCCCCAAGAAAAACATATTTTCATTTTCTAGTACTGCTTCCTTGTTGCTTCTTCATTTAAACTAATCTTTTTATGTAATGAATCCTAGTATATTTTTGTTAGAATATTCTTTAGGAACAAGATCTGTGGAAAATAACTAAATAGTTGCAAATAACTAAATAGTTGCCCAGTCAGTCAGGAAAACTTGTCTTATTAAATGTAACTTATTAACTGTGTTCGATTAACTGTAACTTTAAAAAAGGAGGCTTCCCTTCCTACTCCCATATCCTTGACAACAATCTCAGATAATTTATCAGAGAAAAGAATTTTTCCCCACTGAGACTTAGAAGAATGGGATATTTGAGATTAAAACAAAACAAAACAAAAAAGACCCAACTCTCTTTCATTTGTGATGTCATTATGATGGGATCTTGGGATGCTGGATTTTGTAGCTGATATATCCTACATTCTATTGCTATAAAGCTTGCAAAATTGTATTGGAATTTCATTGAATTTATACTGATAAAAATATTCCTTCTAATTCTTTCAGAGAAGTCTTTGAAAGACCTGATGTACCCCTCATGGAATTTGTATGACTTTTCCCTGTATATGTGTGTGCATATGCATGTAACCACACATACATGGACAGTAAATTTAGCTTACATTTCATGACAGTATTGTCTAGGGGATGGAGAATAATAGACCTCTGAGCTTCCCTTCCTTCCCAGAAGAAACTAACAAGCCTGTGGAATTGGAGTGTAATATCTGAGATGACATTATAAGTTCTTTCCTGTTTACTTTAAAAAAAATACAAAATGAAATAAAACTCAGGTATTTTCTCAGGATAATTCCCCCCCAACACATTCCTCATCTTTAAATGCTTAAATGAATTTTCAGTTGGCTTAGCTGAGCTTAAACACTTTTCACCTTAATGAATTCTCCAGGCCCTGAATTCTCCTGGTTCTAAATAAATGCAAATTTGGAAGGATGGGTTGCATAGGACAAGAAATCAAGCCTAGGGCATCCTTGCTTGTTATGCTTTTTTTTACTTTGAAGACTTTTTTTAATCGAAAAAGATAAAAACAAGTCCTTTGCAAACATGCTACATTGAATTTTTATATTCATTAAGAACTTTTGAAAAAATAAGAACTTTTATCATTGATAATATTGGAAATATTTTTATTATAGAAAAAATTTTAGGGTTTAATGTAATTAGATACACTGATACAATTTTAGAGAATATTTGATTATTTTGATTAACTTTTTTCAAGAATTATAAGCTATTAGTATCAGTACACATAAAAAGTTAATTTTGCATGCATTATACATTTGGATTTTTTTTTTTTTTTTTTTTTTTTTGAGTTAGGTTCTCATTCTGTTGCCCAAGCTGGAGTGCAGTGGCACAATCACAGCTCACCATAGCTTCAGTCTCCTGGGCTTAGGCGATCCTTCCTCCTCAGTCTCCTGAGTAGCTGGGACTACAGGTGCATGAAACCACACCTGATTAATTTTTTTACTATGTAGAGATGATGTCTTGCTATGTTGCCCAGGCTGGTCTCGAACTCCTGGGCCCAGTCTCCCAAAGTGCTGGTATTAACAGACATGAGCCATTGCACCCAGCCTATGCATTTGTTTTTAAAGGCAATAATATTCTTTTACCTTGAATAATTGTGACTGATTCTTTAGATAATTTGTTCTTTAAACCCATTTTGGATACACATTAATTTTAAAAATAAAATATTGTCATAATTAGTACTAAAAGAAAAGGCTTATTTAGTTTACAAAAATTTCCATGTATAGTCAAAGCATGGATATATTTAAACATTTTAAAATTTCATAAGTGGAAGTAGTAAAATCAAAATGTGGGCTCTTCTTTGAGGTCTATTTGGAACTTTTCAAGACTTTTTTTTTTAACCACTAAAATGGGTTTTGGATCGTATCAAATAGAACTTTGATCATTTTTGAGCTTTTTCAGTGGTATAAAACAATGAGTACTATGTTATTACTATGAAGATAGAATACTTTGGGCCTACATAGCATTCAAAATAGCAGTCTATAAAAACCTCATATGTGAATATTTGCTATTTATGTTTTATTAATTCTGATACTCCCCGTTTATAAATTACTTTCTCATGAGCCATTGCACATATTTTATCTGAGAACCTTAAGAGTTAGTGCAAATTATTGTACCTTACCCATAAGGTATTGTTTCTATTTGAAACAGTTTAGTTCCTATGTATCATTAAGCACAATAACAGCATTTTCTCCTTGTAACCAGAAAACAAGTAATTCCATCTACCATCAGTTAACACATTTTAAGGAAATATAGATACCTCTGAATTACCTCTACAATTTGGTATTGATCAGCATTTGGCCTCCTAAAATAACAGATAATTTATTTTCTGCTATGCTCATGGTGTGTAACCATGAGACATATGCTTGTAATTGCATGTTTGTAGTTTTAATGATGCTGTTTCTCCATTGCTGTATCTGCAATTGCTGTATAGAAGCAGGACACAGCCATGTGGCAGAAGTAATGGTTAAAGAGGCTAGGGGAGTGAGGATCAGGACTGGAAGGTGCAACAGCAAGGCAGCATCAGATAAACTCTGAGATAGTGCTCCTGGAACATATGACACAGGCCACAGCCTATCTGATCAAGAGTTAATTACATAAAAAAAGAAATAACTCAGCTTTTAATTTAAATAAAGGGAGGTTTTGTGGTGAATTTCTTTGAAAATACCCATTTTTCTTCATAGTTACTCTGGTTGATAAATTTTAATGTACGGATTTATTTTATGATATGGTAAATATAACTCTAAATGCTAGTATTTTGTGTACCTATGCATGATAGAAAAACAAAGTAATGAAGCAATATGTATTTGTGCACCAGTATTCCAAGAGACATTTATTTAAATATAATGAAACTTTTAGATTCATTATATAACTTTTGTTTTCTTTTTTTATATTTTATTTTAGATATGGGGTTTAATTCAGGATTAGGTATACAAGTGAACATTGTACAGGCAAAGTTTGGGCCTCCCTTTGGTCCCCAGTTTACCTTGTTTGAGATTAGGTACCCTTATTGAGTCCCCAACTCCACCCCAGCAGTATTCCACTACTGCCAATCCCTTTCTTATGGTATTATGGTAAATGTTCAGGGTCCACTTATGAGTGAGAATATAAGGTACTCTGTTCTTTTTTCTGTGATAGATTACTGATTATTATAGACTCTAAATCTAGGAGAAACGTGTGAGAAGTATTTATAGTTGCTATGAATTTTACTAGAAAAAAATCACTGTTTTCTCTAATTTAGATTTTTTAAAAAAATATTTGTTTAAGCTTTCAGACATGATCTCCACCAGTGAGAAGCCCCTGGCAGAACAAGACTGGTACCATGGTGCAATTCCTAGAATAGAAGCACAAGAACTGTTAAAACAGCAAGGAGACTTCTTGGTGCGAGAAAGTCATGGGAAACCTGGTGAATATGTCCTTTCTGTATATTCTGATGGACACAGGAGACATTTTATCATACAATTTGTTGATGTACGTTCCCAGTTTAGTTTATATGTATATTTTCATGTAGTTCCTTGTGTATTAAAATGATGAATGGTTTGTGATGAATGCCTGTAACACTTGAAGTTTAGCACTTAAGTTTTTTTCTTAAATATAGTACTTCACAGTTTGGTAACATTAAATTCTATTAAAGGAATATGTATTTACAAACATTTTAGAATAAAAATAGTTTTTACAAATTTAAATTAAATTTAAATGATAACTGTTTAAAATATATTAAGTTAAATTTGAACATTAAAGCCATTTTAAATTAAAAATAAAAGTAATGTGATTATTGTACATTATTTTTATGGAGAACCTAAATTATTAAATATATACTTTTGAAATTGGACCTTGAAATTACTTTCAAAATGGTACCATGTGAGATTTTTAAAAAATATTTTATTGAATAGTGTTAATGGAATTTCTTAATGAATGGGACAGTTGTTTAGTTGGTTTTCTATCTCATTAAAGATTAAAGTTTTTTAAAATTTTTATATATAAGGTGTTGCTTATTGGCATTGACAAATAATAAATAGAAACTGATGAAGAATTTAAAAAATAATCTATTCACATTGCTTTTTCTAATGCTAATTTGTTTTTTGTAATTTAAGTATTGCTAAACTACTTTCTGTATCTGTTCCATCTTCTTTATTGAGCATAAAAAGATGAAGGGCAATTTCAAATTTTCAATTTTACTTGCTGAGAAATTGTTAATGTTTTTGATTAATATATATGTAGTTGTCCACTCCCATCATTTCAAGTGGCATACATTTTCTATATTGGTGTTCACAGGATTTCAGTTTCTGTCTAGGAACTAGTGTAATACCTATCAGAAAGATTTGGATAATCTTGGAGGACTGTAGGCTATAGGTATATGTGAGGGGCGTCCCCCAAAAAATCCAGAATTAATTTTTTGGAGGGCAGGCCCCTTGTAATACACAGGAATTTGTTCCTCTGGATCAAAAGGTCAACGAAAGTTTTTATCTGAAAGTATTGAGAAGGTTGCATCATGATTTGCAAAAGAAACGTCTGAGTTGTGGCAAACTGGTGATTGGTTTGTCCATAATGTCCATGCACCTGCCCATACCGCCCTGAGTGTTCATCAGTTTTTGACCAAAACCAGCATGACCTCTGTGCCCTACTCTCCCTATTCATCTCATCATGCCCCGAGTGACTTTTTTGTTTCCCTGGATGAAGAAAGGCCTCTAAGAGGAACATTTTGCCAATGTGGAAGAGGTGAAACAAAAAACTGCAGGAACTCTAAAAAGCATCAAAATTGAAGAATTCGAAAACTGTTTTGAGCACTGGAGAAAGCATCTCCATAAGTGTATTGCATCAAACAAAGAGTACTTTGAAGGTGATTGAAGTTTACACATGTAAGAATAAATACAATTTTTTGTAAAAAATTGTGGTTATTTGGGTCCTTTCTCAATGTACATATGAATATATATTTTTGAAGTAACATTCATATACCATAAAATTAATCATTTAAAAGTATTTGATTCAATGGTACTTAGTACATTTGCATCTAGTAAGTAAAGCTAGATGAAAATAGATGCCATTCAGAAGGGCTAAAATGAGTAAATTCTTTAAAATATATTTGCTATCATAATTTTCACACTATTTGTTAATTTTGCATAGTGTCAGACCTCAGCTTGATAATCATATTTTTCTACTTTCATATATCTAATATCCTGTTTTAGAAGCTATACTGTTTCCAATAGTATGTCACTCTTTATTTTCTTGGATATCTTTTAAAATTTGTTTGTACCTTTAGGTTATGGTTATAGATCATCTACCCATTGCATTTTGTGACCCTATTGACAATATTTATAGAATGGTATGAGAATTGTAGAAAGAAAGATTGTAGGTAAAGTATACACTAGTTAAATACAATTTATATGAATGTATTATTCTGTTTTCTAAGCTCTAAAAGTTACTGTTTTTGAAATATGTCATGCATTAAATAAGCCTGAAATATCTAGCTTATCATAACAACTAGTTTAACACGTAAGTATAGGAATTTAAATTAGCATTGTTAGAAACCAAAAGGAAAGGGTCAACTTGCAAGTTACACTTGTTTTTCATATTGCCATTTTGTCTTTAATGGCTAAAATGAACAGTATAGTATGTGCTAAAATAAGATGTTCCAAGTTCATATTTGAAGGTTTTATTTGGTTTCCTTCTGTCATTGAAATTTTTCAGATGTCTACATTAAAGATGAGAGCACGTGTTTTCAATAAATGCCTTAGGTTTTTTACTGCTTATTTTTGTTCTAATGAGCTTTCATTGTATAATGTCGAGCTCCTCAAGCAGTGGAAAACAGGAGCTTAAGGAGTTGTAGACAGTTTTGATTCTTTTGCATTTTGTACAGGTGAATTGTCCATGAAATAAGATTATCCTATTCATTTCCTCATATACCTGTTGCCTAGGAGAGGTCAGTAAATGGGGAAATTCATTAACGAGTTCCTATTATATTCCAGTGAAGGAATTTATATTATAGAAGCTGCACATAAATGAGGTGAAAAGTATCCTAAGAAAGGATGACATAAAGTAATATGAGATTTTAGAGAATGGAAAACTATCTAATAGTGGGTCAATGAAAAGAGCATTGAATTTAAAGTTAAAAGACTTGGGTTTCACGCCGCTCTGTCCTTTATGTGCTCTGTGGTTTAGGAAATAATGGAGGTAATATCAAGTTTTTGTGAGAAGCAGACCAGTGAATATGACCTTTGCAAGATAGGAAGTACTATGTAATTATTAGGCATTTTTACCATTATTTAATAACCTTATTTGAGAAAAAGATACAAATGTACTTTGTAAGAAATATCAATGTATTTGGAGGAGTTAATTGTAAAATTTATTTGTGGTTCCTATGTGATTTATTTATGAGATTTAAGTAATGATGAAAGTGTTATTTTAGAGTATGTATATTTAGGTTCAAGGTATTCTTTGCTGTGTTTAGCAACATTACTTCGGTCAGCTAGAATCTATGACACCGATTATTTTGGAAATGTATTTTTGTATGGATATCATAGTTACTTTTTGAACATGGTGTGAAACTATTTGCATCCCGTGAGCATTATAATTGATCAAGATGGACACAGATAAGTTCAGTTTTTATACTTTTTTTTACCACTCTAGCAGAGAATAGCTTATCTGTTGTTTGAGCTAGTTCAGGTAAGAAGAGCTGTACTTTTTACTGGACACTAAATATGGTAATTTTGCAAAACCAGTTCTATGAAGCATATCTGAGAGTTTCTGAATCTCAATATATTTCCAATGTTATTTTCTGACTTATTTCATAGTTACTAGCCTGTTCATAATGTTTCATGTAAATCAATATTCATAGTTTATACCTAAAGGAATTTTTTTTGTGTCATAATGTTGACTGATTTTTATAGATTCATATAGCTTTGTTCCATTTGATAAGTAAATACATAATCAAATCTTTGCTTTTGTATATGATAAAACAAAAATACACGTGACAAAACAAAAGTACTCTGGAAATAACTTTTTATGCTGTTATTAATAGGAAAATACCAATTCATATTTCTCTGATTTATTTATCTGATACTCATTTCCGAAACACCATTTTTGCAAAGTTTCATGTTACGCAACATAATGATGTGAAACAGCTTAAAATCTAGTAGGTATGACTATAGTAGAATTTGTGAACAAAGAAATAGCAAAGATGAAGAATTAGGATCAATTAATTGAGCCATGAAATCTAGATTAACATATGGTAATGAATTAAAAATAACAACATGATATTATTTTAAAATAAAACTTTAGGGGAAAATTCTCTATGTAATGGCATTTATTTATTTATTCAGGAAATACTTATAGAGTATTATGTGAGGCTCAGGGATATGGCCTAATAAAATAAAAATAACACAAAAGTGGAAGTTACAGTTGAGAATAATATGTGAATATAATGTGGAATTGGGTACTTCAGTGTATTATATCATTAATTCAACAAATATTTATTGGATAGCTGTCATGTGCTAAATTCCACTTTGAGGTGATGGATTTAGTTTCTGAATCTACAAGTAAGTTAGATTTACTTAGTTTTGTTGCCACAAACTCAGCTCTTTGAACCTTTTAAATTCATGCTGTGGGGTCTCAAGGGAGTGAGCAGAAGTCTGACACTTGTTTAGATAATAGCTAATTCCAAGTTTGTGGCCTTATCTTTGCATACTTAGGGTTATTTTATTTTGTTCTACTCCAACCATTCAAGGACTCAAAGGAAAGTAATAAGTACCTTGAAGTCAAAATGAAATGTTAAATCATTTTCTATATTCTTAACATACAATTAAAGACTTAGGATATTTCTTCTTATCAATAAAACAAAGGCATTTCAAAACCTTATTATTATTTTCCAGGAAATAATAATTGATTGAATACTATTTAAGGCCCAGGAATATAATGGTGGAGCTTACAGTCTAGGGGGGAGGCTCACAGTCATTCATAAATTACATAACACTACATATAATTATAAATTATAGTAAGTGCTGTAAAGGAAAGATACACAATGATACCAAAACTTTTAACAGGTAAACTTAAGGAAGTTAAGATGGAGCCAACATCTGAAGAATGGATAAAAGTTAACTAGGAAAAGCAATACCAAACCTTATTAATGTTAATCCTCTAACTTCCTAGCACTTTCTTTGTACTGGGTTTATTTAGTTATTTATAATTATCGGTGTGCCATTTTAATTTGAGAAAGTGAAAGTTTATGTTTTGTATTTTTATTTTGAGATATTTTTCCAAGAAGGAGTATTTTAGTCTTTTGGTTTTATTCAGCTTATTCATCTCAGCTTATTTTATTTTTCAGATTATTTTATTTTTTTCTTAAACCTGTTTCAAGCATATTATTTCAAATTATACATTCACTGAATCCTCTTCTCATTTTTGTGTTTTAATTCTGTTTTATCTGACTGCCTTTCATAATAATGTCCCAGGAAATGTGTATAGCAAGAAAATCTGATTCTGTTTTTTAGTTTTTCATCAGTATGCATGACTGATTCTTAAGTAACACAGTGTTAACTCATACAAATCCTAGATGTAGTAAATGTTAAAAAAAAGCAATATGTGCTCTTGGTAAAAATTTGTAAATAAGTGTTATGGAATGTATGCTTCATATTAACACCTTAAGGGTTCAATGTATATTCCTTCAGTATTTGGGGAATATATTCTAATCATATTTGTATAATTTTTATTTACAAAAATTGAGCCATACCACATTTTATATTTATACTTGTTTATTTAACTAAATATTACATAATATTTAAAGATGTAATACAAATGACAATCAGCAAATGATCTTTGTAGAGTTTATCCTATACTATCATTTTTATTACTTCTTTTGTAATTTATATAAGAGCATTAGTAACAAATTAAGAAAAGTCTTTTACTTAAAAGTTATTCTGGACCGGGCATGGTGACTCAGCCTGTACAGCACTTTGAGAGGCCTAGGCGAGAGGATTGCTTGAGCCTGGGGGTTTAAGACCAACCTGGGCAACTTGGTGAGACCTGGTCTCTACAATAAATCACACAAACTAGCCAGGCGTGGTGGTATGTGCCTTTAGTTCCAGCTACTTGGAAGACTGAGGTGGAAGGATTGCCTAAGACCAGCAGGTTGAGGCTGCGGTGGCCGTGAGCGTGCCACTGTATTCCAGCCTAGGCGACAAGAGTGACACTCCAACTAAAAAAAAAAAAAAGTCTGAATTCTCTCTGTTTGCTATATGCAAAACTTTAAAAGAATAAATGTATCTGTATGTAAATGCAAACGTAGGTCAGCTGAGTTAAAAGAAATTTATACGTACTTATACAAGGTCAAATGTAATATTATATAATATTTAGAATTTTGAGTGTATCAAGAAACAAGTCCTTAATAGTTTTAATGAATGCACTACTCTTGACCTTTTAGTTGCTTAGATGAACTTTATAAACAGACAGTCTTAGCTTCATTTTTATATCCATTACTGTAACTACTTCTTTAAGAAAGTGAGTTAATTGGTTTTGTACTAAGTTAGGACTCTCAGAACTTCACTGAGTCAGAGTGATTGCTTTAAAAATAAATTGAAAGCAGATATGTTCTTAAATTAAGAAAGGAAAACTGAAAATTTTTATTAATCAATATATTTTTAGAGACATATTAAAAATTTACATGAGACATTGTGACTGACTGTAAAAGGTGATGAAATTTTATTCTGTGTGAACTTCATCTTATTACCTCCCTTTTTAAGTCTTAAAAACTTGATGCATACTATTTGTATATTTTTATGGGGTAATGTGGTATTTTGTTATGTGCAGAGTATGTAATGATCAAGTCAGGGTATTTGGGGTGTTCATCACCTTGAGTATTTATCATTTCTATGTGTCGTAAACTTTTTAAGTTCTTCTCTTCTAGCTATTTTGAAATATCCAATACATGTTGTTAACTATAGCCACCCTACTCTGCTATTAAACATTAGAACTTATTCCTTCTATCTAACCAGATGTTTTTAAACATCAACCAACCTCTTTTCTTGTTCCTCCTCCTTGCCTCCCAGCACACCCATCCCAGACCTTGGTAACTATCATTCTCTACTTACATGAGATCAACTTTTTTTTTTAGCTCCCACATTAGTGAGAACTTGTGATACTTGTTTTTCTGTGCCTGGCTTATTTCACTTAACATAATGACCTCCAATTCAATTCATGTTGCTGCAAATGATAGGATTTTATTCTTTTTTAGGGTTGATTAATATTTTATTATGCCACATTTTCTGTATCTGTTCATTTATTGATGGACACTTAGGTTGCATACTTATCTTTGATATTGTGAATAGTGCTGCAATAAACATGGGAGTGCAAGTATCCCTTTGATATACTGCTTTCCTTTCCTTTAAATATATACCCAGTAGTGGTATTTACGCTAAATCATATGGCAGTCTTGTTTTTAGTTTTTTGAGAAATCTTCATATTGTTTTCCATAATGGCTATGATAATCTATAATTTAATCAACATGTATCAGATTTCCCTTTTCTCCACATACTTACCAAAATGTTATTTTTTGTCTTTTTAATAATTATTATTCTAACTTGGGTAAGATGATATCTTACTGTGGTTTTGATTTGCAGTTCCCTCATGATTAGTGATATTGAGCATTTCTTGTATAGCTATTTATCATTTGTGTGTCTTCTTTTGAGAAATGTCTATTTATGTCTATTCATTAAGTATTTACTTTATTTATTTATTTATTTTTGCACTGGAGTCTCACTCTGTTGCCTAGACTGGAGTGCAGTGGCACGCTAACGGCCACTGCAGCCTTGACCTGCTGGACTCAGGGGATCCTTCTGCCTCAGCCTTCAAAGTAGCTAGAACTACAGGCATGTGCCACCATGCCCAGCTAATTTTTTGATTTATTGTAGAGATGAGGTATTGCCAAGTTGCCCGGGCGGGTCTTGAACCCCTGGGCTCAGGCAGTCCTCTCGCCTTGGTCTCCCAAAGCGCTGAGATTACAGGCTTGATCCGAGGTGAGAGAATTGCCTGAGCCCACAGGTTTGAGACTGGCCTGGGCAACTTGGCGAGATGTCATCTCTATAATAACTCAAACAATTAGCTGGGTGCCTATAGCTCCAGCTACTTGGAAGACTGAGGTGAAAGAATCGCCTGAACCCAGGGGGCAGACATTGGGGTGACCATGAGCATGTTATTGCACTCCAGCTTGGGTGTTGCAGTGAGACGCCAACTCAAAAAAAAAAAAATGCCTTCTAGGATAACTGATTTCTTTATAGATAGTAATTTTTTTTTAGAAAATGTAATTTATACTTAAATGTTTTTTGAACTTTTTTTCATATATCCAATTTGGAATTAGTTTTGTAATCCATAGTTTATTATTTTTATGGCAATTTAATAATTGAATGTGTTACCAGTAAATGTACCACATATTGAACAAAGTGACTTACAAATTAATACTTAGTTAAGCCTTACACTTCTTTGGAGAAAAGGTCCAAATAATATCTGTTCCACCAGTGAATAAACCGAGATACTGAGAGATCTTGCTCAGTGTATGACACATCTGGAAATATAATAATATCTTCAGCATGAAATATTCTTAAGCATCAGTGTTAATACTATCATAACGGTCTGGATACTATGTACAAAAGGTTGTTAGGCAATTTGTTAGCAACTGCCCTGAATTGGCTCTAACACTAACTGCCTTGAGTTGAATTATACTCTATGTTAAGTGTTAAACTAATGCTTTGTGTTTTCTTACTTGATGAAACAAATTCACTTAAAACATATACAAATTAAATGTCTGTTAATTAAATCTTATGTTATAGAAAAGGAGCTTTGAGGTTTTTAACTTTTTACTGAGAAGGTGATCTTCAAGTAATGCAAACAATATCCAAGTTTAGATTTCGTTTTAAAAGTTCTTATTAACAGAGTTTTCTTAAAATGGATACACCCATGTCTGTGTCTGTACATAACTCCCGTGTATGTACAGGAGAGCTCTTCGTGAACAGATGGTGGCCTTTATTACACTGCACTGAAAAGGATGGCCAGTGGATATTTTTTATGTTAGATGGTTTGCTATCAGTTCATCCATATGATATTCTAAAAAGATTGAAATATGGAGAAGGAAAAAGGGTTTGGGGAAAATGCTACTTACCTTGTGATATGAAATAAAAAAGTATTAAGATTTAAGCATGTTGATATCTACAGATTTGTCACTGATGCATTTTTATTGTTCCTTAACTCAGCTGTATCCCTATGCTCTGATTTCTGTGGTTATCATTTTAGCAAAATGTATTTCAGGTCTGTTTGTTTGTTTGTCAAACAATTTGAATTAGATTTAATCATCATGAAAATTAATTTCTCTGTCAAAAGATAGATTTTTAAAACATGTTGGAGTTTTATTTATCTATTTTTATTTTTTAATCATCTTAACCTTTTTTAATTGTATAGTTTAGTAGTGTTAAGTATATTCATGTGGTATTGCAACAGTAATTTTTCTTAAATGGAACTTAATTTATCTGTGAGTGTAGACTTTCTGAAGTAATGTCTTTTTATTGATTCTACCTTATTGCTCTCTCTCTCTAGAATCTGTATCGATTTGAGGGCACTGGATTTTCAAACATCCCTCAACTTATAGATCATCACTATACAACAAAACAGGTCATCACTAAGAAATCAGGTGTAGTTCTGCTGAATCCTATTCCTAAGGTAGGTGCATATATAGTTTTTTAAAATAATGTGTGGTGAGTTAACATTTGTCACCATAAATAAAGTTCTTAGATGGTTAATGAGTAGTTCAGAAACAAAAAGGTTTTGTGATTACCACTTGTACTAATACAGTTGAAGAATGGAAATTCCTTAAATTGTATTAAGATGGGCTATCTTTTTATTCAGTATTTGATAGGATACAAATGGCCTGTTTTTTGTTTTTCTTTCTTTTTTCCAGAAAGACTTGAGGTTTTTTTAAAATCCTTTATAAGGTTTGTATTTTTAAAAGTTCAGGTTATAAAAGACCCTGGTGCAGAAGTCAAAGAACATGTTTAGCAGTTAGGAATAAATTAGAATTTTAATTTTTAAGGTTAGGTTTACAATGTATTATAAGATAGTAGAGCTTTTTAAAACTACTCTTCACAAAAGCAGTTACATCATAACTTCCCTATGAGAGACAGGTAGCTGGATAAGAGACTATTTTAGGTCATTTTTACCTGTGAGTTCTATCTCAGAACATGTTACTTTCATGTGCTTTAATAGATTTGTCAGGTAATGCATGGAAATGAGGAAGTCTTGTATTATTAAGGTAAAACCTTTGGGTCTTACACCAAAGTGGAACAGTGGAACTGACTTAGTTTCTGAGCACTTCTGATGTTTCAGGAATTGGGCTGGGGTTAGCAAGAGTCCTTTGCATTTGGGTATGTCTAATATGAAGAACACTTTAAAATAAGAAAGCCATAACACTTGGTAGGTTCATATTTGTTGATTTGATTTGATACTTCTAGATAGGCTTTTAATTTGAAGTAGGTGCCGGTCCCAAGAATGCTAGTACATAATACAGATTTAGTTAATTGGAAATTCAAAAAAATTTTTATGTTTTCCTTTGTTAATCTAGAAAATAATGTGCAAATTCTTACTTTTATTACATTACTAAGTCTTCACTTAGGGGCTGAGCTTTAATATTTATCTCACAGAAGATTTTGACAGCTACATAATATTCTAATTCTCTGGATAAGGAATTGTCTTTCTCTCCAACCCCAAACACTGTAGTTGATTATGTCATGATTTGATAGCCCTAGTTATGAAAATAAATATATACTGTAATCCATAGAATAAAGAGCCATATATGATTACTTTATAAGGTAGAAATTTAAAATTTATCTATTAACCTGATCTAAAGTACTCATTTGAAATACACATATCATTATCTCAGTTTGTTGTAAATATTGTTATATACTGGATTTAAGGAATCATGCTATTCTTTTAAAAGCAGAGGTTGTGAAAGTTAGATAATTTTCAATTATGAATATAGAACAAATTAATATGGATTTTGTTACATTGCTATTATCTGTTTCATATCTTCCTTTCAATTATTTGTACTCTTATAATTTAATCTATCTCTTGATTTAATTTGTGTAAGAAGTTAATGTCTTTGACCATATAATGTGTGATAAAATATCTAATTTCCATCTAGCTAGGCTTCATTTTGAGGATACATAAAGAATTCCACTTTGGTCTCAGTATAATTTCTATTTCCCATTTATTTCTTTTCTCATTTATTTCTGCTCTTCCTAATGAAAATACAGGTTTGTCATCATAATGCCTAACTGGAGGACACAGTGACCAAAGTAGTCTCTTGTCTTCATATTATTATGCATATTCACTCAGAGGTACAGGCAACTAGACACAGATAAATTATTTAACTTTCTCATGGTAATAAAACTAGTGGGTGACCGAGCCACCCATTCCTCACCCTGGTTTTTCCTACACTGTCTCCTAAAGCCTGTATAAACATGTGGATGATGGAAGGTATTCTTGTAAATGAACTATTAATCATCAATTAGCATCTTTTTTATATTAGCAAACACACTGGACATTTACATGGCTTGTTCTTTACTTAATTCAGTTTCTGCTCAGATGTCACTTCCTTAGAGAGACCTTCTGACTACCACATATAAAATAACACATCATGCCCTTTTGCTCCTCCTTCTTCTTAATTTCTCTTTATCATGGTCATGTTTACCTTACATGAGGTATTTTTAATCATCTGTCTCCCTCAAGTGAAATGTGGTTTCCATAAGGCCAGAATTTCATTTAACAATTAGTGCCACTGTATCCCCAGTATCTCAAAGAGTGCTGGTTCAAAGTAGGTGTTCAATAAATATTTGTTGAAGGATTGGATTTCAAGGAGCCAGGCAATTGTGGACCTTTTTATATGCATTATCTCATTTAACCCTCACATATTCCTATGAAATAAGAATTGTTATTAACTTCATATAATATTATTGTTGCTCTTAGCCCCATACAATATTATGAATGAAGAGCTGAAGCTTGAATTGCAATGACTTGGCCAAGGTAACACACTGATAGAAGCAGAGCTGAGATTTGAGTCCATGTTCTACACCACTATCTATTTGTCTAGATTGTCGCGTCTAGACTTTAGAGTCTAGAATAAACTAAACTCTGAATGTGAGTTTAAGGAAAATTCTTAAATGATTCTATGAAATGCTAAATTGAAAAAGACTTTAACATATCAAAAACTGTAAGTCCCTATTATAAAAGGAAAATCATTAAATAGTAGTATTGGGTAGGCAGATTTTTTTTTTTTTTTTTTTTTTTGAGTTGGAGTCTCACTCTGTCGCCTAGGCTGGAGGGCAGTGGCACACTCATGGTCACCACAGCCTTGACCTGTTGGGCTCAGGCGATCCTTCCATCTCAGCCTTCCAAGTTGCTGGAACTACAGGCATGCGCCATCATGCCCAGCTAACTTTTCATGATTTATTGTAGAGATGAGGTGTCACCAAGTTGCCCAGACTGGTCTCGAACCCATGAGCTCAGGCAGTTCTCTCACCTCGGCCTCCCAAGGTGCTGGGATTATAGGCATGGGCCACTGCACCCGGCCCAGAACCAGAATTTGAGGTAAAGTATAGAGCTTGGTAAAATATATTTAAGAAAAATATCTAGTTTACATTTAACATTTAAATGGCACTTTGAGAGTTATTTGCTTTATTAAATTTAATATTTCTTCAGACTTAGCTGTTTTTAAGAAATAAATCTTTCTGAATGGATATTAAAGCAAAAACCTTTTCATGATTAAATGTAGTTCCATTAAGCAGAGAGACGTTAATTTGAACCTTTGACAACAGCTTAAATCAAGTAATTGTGGCTTTTTTTTTTTTTTTTTAAGTCAGAATTGCCAGAGTATCAGAGGCAAATTTTTGAGAGGAGGGTAAATCTCTCAGTGGTTGAAACTACTCACTTGTCATAGGGAGACAGATTCATCCAACACCATCCATGACCATCAGACACTGCAAAGAACAGCTCATAAAAGAGGAAAACTGTACTTTAAATTAGGTGTCCTGCTCACATTTTTAGTTTTAGATAAGTTAAAGACTATTTATTTTACCTTATAATTATTAATATAACTTGTCTCTTCCAATATTACTATTTAATGATTTTCATATAGTTTTTGATTATTTGAAGTCTTTTTAATTTGACATTTTATGAAATTAAGGAGGTTTTCTGTTTCTTAAATCTGCAACTACTTTCTTTAGTTGATTAAGATATATCGGGTAATTTTAAAAAATAATTTGTTTTAAAATTTTTAAATAATTTGAATTTTTAGTAAAGAGAAGGATAAAAAAATATATCTGATTAGTATTCATTTAGTAAATATTTACTTAGTACTCACTCTGCTGAGCAGTGTTCTATATTATTCTAGAGTGCTTTGAAAATGGAAAGACTAGACTAGAATAGACTGAAGGCAGGGTTTGCATTGTGTGTGTGTGTGTGTGTGTGTGTGTGTGTGTGTGTGTGTGTGTGTGTGTGTGTAGAGAGAGACCGTGCTACTATTTTAAATATGATCAATGTATCCTTCCTCATGAATTTTTGGCAGAGATGCGAATCAAAACAAGTAGCTGTCTATGTGGTATTTGCAGAGGCAATAGTAAAAGCATTTAACTGTTAGTATAGCATGAGTACCAACCTATCAGAATAGGTACCAACATATTAGAATAGATGCCAACTATAAATAACTGGAAGAGTGAAGCAGGTGTTTGCTGGCTTGGAATTCTCTGTGTGTATACAGGGAAGGATGTTTCTTGATGTTATGAGCAACTACAGAGGCTAGTATGGCAGAGGTATAGTGGCTAAAGGGGAAAGTGATGGTAAATGAGCACAGGTTTGGGTTAATTAATTGTAATGTATATTGTCATATAAGGTCAGTCGTTTATTGTATAATTTAAGAAATTCACTTCATTTGAGTAGAAACTCAGTATTCAATTTTATAAGCTTTCATAGTGAGTATTTTAAAAACTAAAGATTTATGTTTAATAGTGGTAATGCATTTCCTTTTCATAGTAATATGGCTATCCATATGTTAGAATAAATCCCATGTTTTTAATTTATAAGGACTTTTCCCCCAGTAATATTAGTTTTGAGGGCATATAACTAGTTGTGCTTTTACATTTAATCTTCTAATGCTGTCATTTGTATAGCCTTTTTAAAAAGTGCTGTGTGTTTAAAATTTGAAAAGAGATGAGTGATTTTTTTTTTTTTTTAGTTCTGGAAATTAGATAATTAAATACCATATCAAATTATATTTCTAATTGTGGAAACGCACAGTTTGGGGAAAAAAAATTCTGAACTGGAATACCCACTGTTAAGATTTCTATTTAATTGGCTCTTTTAGATCAATTAATTAGGCCTACTGAGAGTAGAAAAGTACAAAAAAGTTACAAAATGTTCTCCTTAGGAAACTTATCAGAGATATACAAATCTCTATGTGGGCCTTGGATTTGAGCAAAGAGAATCCAATTTTAAATTCCAGTTTTAAATATTACCAGCCATGCCATCTTAGGCAAGCCAGCCTCCTAATTTCATCTGTGGCCTACGGTAACCCCACTTGTTGTAAATATTATGTGAGAAAATTTCTGTTGGAAGCTGTAAAATTCCATATATTTTCTTGGTTTAAGACTTTTTTCACTGGACAGATAAAT